CACCTGCTTGTGACGCTTGTACTAGCGACGCTTTCTACCTGTCAGTTTTAACATCCTCGAATGGGAGCAAATAATAACATCGAAATATACCAGCGGTAGGTCCTCTTGTTGACTACCGCAGCGCAACGAAACAGATACGTGATCTTGTCCGTATAATTTGCCCGTTGTTTCAACGGGGAGTTGTTAAAAACAAACCTGACAGAACCATAGCTCAGGCGGTTAGTCGCTTGCTTCCCGCCGTGGTGGGTCAGGTCATGTGGGATTTGTGGTGGACCAAGTGGCACTGGGGCAGGTTTTCTCCGAGTAATTCGGCTTCTCCTGCCAGTTCTCATTCCACCGATTGCTCCACAATCATCCTCGTCATCATTTATCATCTGAGACTGGTACAATAGACCAATAGTGGCCTCAGTACCAAGTGGACTCAGTCTCACGCCATGAGGAAAACATAAATATGTAGCTTCAGTAAGTGAAACCTCAATCACTGGACCCAGAACCCTTCAGAATTTACATGCTGCAAAATTCATACGAAACGGAACACTGCAATTATACTGACATGGTTTGCCCAGCTCTTTCTAAGGAACCCAACAGAGTAGGTGTCTTACCTGCCCCACCTGAAGACGGAAACAGATCTAGTTTCCGAAACGTTGTGTTCTCTAGTTTTAAAAATATCGGACGATGGAGAAAGTCTAAAAACATAGCAATTCTGAAGGAAGGTGGAGCTATACCTCCGCTTCCCCACATGTCTTCATGACATGCTGCATAATTAATTAAACAGAGACAGTTTTACTACTTTTAACCCGCAAAATTGTACATTTGCGTTTATAAGGTAAAGATATCCCTGTAGCAGTTTCCCGCCCAAGTAGTTTCCAATGCCTCCGGTAGATGAGGAAGTTATCGGGTACCAATGCCAGTAGAAGGCCGACCTCGCTGGCAGAAAGGGGAGATAGCGGGCACCAGTGTCGGTAGGGTATGGCGACAGTAGAAATTAAAAGGGGACGTACAATAGACTATTAGTCGTGGTGCATGGGGAAACCCACCCCCTCTATACTGAATAACTGAATCCCTATAGCAGGTCGTGAAGACCCATAAGGTTGTGAGACGTCCCTGTATAATTTCACCGGGCTGCGCGGTCTAGTACTTGATATTCCGTTTTGTGTGTCAAAGATGCCAGAGTCGATTCTCAGCCCTGAGATTTTCGTGATTTTCTTCAGTTCTTCCATATAGTTTGTGGAATATTATCGTACAATAGGCCACGACTACTTCCTTCTCGCCGCATGTAATCTCCGTGGTAACACCTGTAGTTGACTCAGCGTCGTTAAATAGCTCACAAATCAACATTTTAAGAAGTCGGTTTTCTTCGATATATTGTTTTTATAGTTACGAATGTTTCAGCTTTACTTGCTGCTTCCATCTTCAGTGTAACTAACATTGTGTTAGGTATAATTTCACCGGACGTCGCGTTCTTGTAGTTAGTATTCCGTTTTATATGCCAGGGATGCCGGGTTCGATTCTCGGCCATGATATTTCCGTGATTTTCTTGAGTGCCTCGAGATAGTATGTGGAATATCGTACAACAGGCCCTAACCATTTCCTTCCACATTAGTCCAATTTTATCGTTTATAATCGTACGGTAATTTGACGTCTGTAACCTGTGCATTTGAGAAGTCGTTATATAAATTGAGACTAAACCAACGTATAGTTTCGGTTGATACGGAACAGACAAGATACAGTGTCTGCAGTATAGTTATGCTAATGCCATTAAATGCTCATAATAACATTATTGTAATTCTGTTATGGTGCGTAGGCTGTTTTTCAACTACGGTTCGGTTGATGTTAGGTGCTTGACATATATATCTATATCACACCAAGCACGTATTACAGTGGCACCCTCTTTACCCTTCTCACAGTGCCTCCCCCCGTGTATGTAAATTTCACACTACCCTACCTGGCCTTGCATACATTATGCTGGGAAGCACGAATGTACGCAACTAGATGACGCTCCAGTTTGCGGAAGTGCGCAATTACTGTATGCAGATTTCGAACCCTTGCTCCACTGACTATGACCTCAGTGTTATCTGCGTGACGTCCGTATATAAATAACAAAAACAAATGTATTGTAGAGGTCTATCTTTTGGGATATAACGCCGTGTATTGCGTTGGAAGTCAGTCGACTTTTCGGAAGAACATGTCACCTAGATCTTTTTAGGGAGGAAGGATAGTCCGAGCAAGAAAACCAGCGAGAAACCACGTAGCAAGAAGAACTCTAGTTCGGGAGTGACGTGTTCCTCCGAAACGTCCGATGACTTTCAACGGATTACTCGGAGTTATATCCCAGAACACATAACTTTTCATAACCGCAACTGTGTGGAAATCAATCCTTCCAGAAATACGGGGTGTCCGGATGAAGGGTATCAAAAATAAAATAATTATATCTCAGTAAGCTTTTATTGTACGCATTTATGGGTTACACCACTACAAAGGGAAACTATCCAAGTTTTTTTTTCTGCGTGTATAACTTCATCGTCCCACTCAGGGCATGGATGTTTGTGTGCGTTTTTCTGTATTTGTACAGGTAGAGGCCTTGCGACGAGCTTATCACCCGCCCAAGGAGTCCTACCGTATGTCTAAGATCTAGAAAAACCGAAGAAGTTCATGGAGGTAGGCCTAGGTCCACTGGGGCTGTAGTGCCAAGGGGAAAAAAATAACTTTCTCGATAAATTTAAATGTGAGCTCCCTTGGTAGCACGACAAATATCCAGGCTTGAAGCATGTTTGGTGTTACCGTAGCCACAGCGTCCTTTATGCGGGCTTTCAGGTGTTGCAGATTGTTGATCTTAACCTAGTAGACAATGTTCTTCACATAACCTCATAAGAAAAAATGGCGACGAAGGAGGCCAAGCGATTGGTCCACTTCTGCCGATCTATCTCCCAGCCATCTCTCTGTCCAAGTGATTCCTAACATGGTTGCAGAAATGTGGCGGCGCATGCGCATAAGCTGGGTATGGAAAATATCTTAGCAGGGTGTTCCTTTCCGATGACATAAACCGGATACTTGTATGGCAATTACTTTCCGAGATATACATTTTTTATTTTGGATACCTTTCATCCGGACAGCCTGTATATTGGTGACACATCTTTGCTCTTAATAATTTCTTTTATACACGTTGTTTAGGCAACACTGATTGACATCAGTGTACTGCAGTGTAGTGCGAAGTCTGTCCACAGGAGAGCCATGATGAAACACATACCGACATGTTGCTTAATATCGCCATGGAAACGACTGAGAGACAGAGATGAAATGTTTTCCATGTGTGAAGGACTGCCGTAGAATTGAGGAATTGAGGAATGAACATGCGAGAGCAGAACTAGGGACGCTTAGTCGCCTGCGTCCCAGCTCAGCGGCCCGAGTTATATTCCAAGTTCGGTCGTGTGGGATTTGTGGTGGGCAAATTGGCACTGGGACAAGTTTCCTTCACCAGACAGCGTCACTAAGTACAAGTAGTAGTAGTAGTAGTAGTAGTAGTAGTAGTAGTAGTAGTAGTAGTGCCCCTTGTACTTGACCAGTTGAGTCGTATGGATGTACAGATCCACGTATTCTTGACCTCGGTACTAGTTGAAGGTGAGTGGTCAGCTGCACTCCCCGGCCGCTTTACCTTTGAGGACAGAACCCCGGTACTCACTGGGTAGGAGGCTGGGTGATTAAGTAACCAACTTAGAAAGGGAGAACACAAGTGTATATTTTTCCACTTCAGGAAGAAACCGTGGGATACAGACAGATACAGATCTGCTGGAAGACATAGAAATAGATGGAATAACCATTTTAACTTCTTGTTTCGGAAGGTAGTGTTGAATTTTGTGGAACGGAATTTAATTCTTTGTTAACACACTGACCATCATCATGTAATGTAAGAATTTTTCTCGGTATTCCATGTAAAATGTGGATCCTTAATTTGATCCTCATTTCAATTACGGTCATGGGTGACAATCCTGTGTGTAATATGTTTATTTGAATTTTATTCTAATGTGTGTGAGACCCCCAGTGGGGCACGCGACACGTGACTATGCTTCACAGTAGCCAGCGCGTCACTAGCGGAATGACAGAACGCGAACTCAGAATGTAACTAACAGAACTGGAACTTAATTGTCTTGAGTGGAACTAATTCGGTTTGCTGTTGTGACATTAACCCTTTATTTCCATATGCCACTCTTGCTCTCCGTATATTAGCAATGTAAACGGGATCATAACATTGGACCGGACATTGTGACGTAGTTGTGTCACCGCCTCTGTCACTCAGGGGATCAGAGGTTTGAAAACTTATCAGATAGTCAGATGTGATGTGATTGCTGGTTGCATACTCTGAACGCGATCTGCGCTCTGAGTCGGATTGTTAATTCAGAAAATGTACATCTCTCTCTCTCTGTCTCTCTCGTGCATTAGGTTCACGTTCTAAATTACAGTTTGAACTTTTCAGTTAGTCGAAATTACGTCCACGCGTTATGTGATGGACGTTCTTATTCGCATTCTTATTATGACAGTCCAACTTTATACATAGAATTTTACTTTGTTTGGGATAATTTCGGTGCAAATTACTTTTTTTTTAATAATAAGCCATATACCAATTTTTTCCTTAGTAGTCTGGTTACCTCTCTGCTCTAGAAAACCGAGGCTAACGGTCGTAGCGATCCGTTTCGCTGTCTGTCAACTCGTATATAGCCTTACAGTACTGAGTTCTGTTACAGGTTCTTCTGTGGGACAGTCCCACCAACAGCTGCAACAGTTATCTCAACAACTCGTATATACTCTTACAGTACTGAGTTCTGTTACAGGTTCTTCTGTAGGACAGTCCCACCAACAACTGGAACAGTTATCTCAACAACTCGTATATACCCTTACAGTACTGAGTTCTGTTACAGGTTCTTCTGTGGGGCAGTCCAAGCCACAGCTGCAACAGTTATCTCAACAACTCGTATATACCCCTACAGTACTGAGGTCTGTTACAGGTTCTTCTGTGGGGCAGTCCAAGCCACAGCTGCAACAGTTATCTCAACAACAGGATCCCCAGTTATCTCAACAGCAGCAGCCACAGTCTGTCAACTCGTACATTCAGCTGTTGCAACAGAGGGAGGAGGAGAACAGGGCTGAAGTAGAGAGACTAACAGCTGAGATACGGTCTCTCAAGCTGCAGCTGCTGCAAGTAGCAGGTAGGGAATTCTGTCGACATTGGTAGTCTTCTAAGTTGGTTGGCAAAACTGGTCGAGTCACCTCTAGAGCAGATTGCTATGTTTCGCATTTTATTCGCCGATACAGAACTCTGTTTTGACAGGGGGAGTTCGTCGACTTGTACGCATATATTTATCCGAGACTTGATGTTCTTAGGGCGGTGGACCATTATATTGCTGTCTTTGTGGTTGTTATTCCGCACCGTTCGTTCCTACATACCGGACTGCGCTTCGTAAAATCCCACAAAACCGTAATACTTTGAGTGCGTATATCTGTTAAATTGAACTACGGTTGCGCGAAAGGCAGGAGGTATTCTGAACAGTCTCTGGTACTGAAAATGGAATAATTTTTTTTATTATTTTTTGGTTTGACGCTGATTTATTTGATCCATCTCCAGTGCATATGATTTAAGACGAGAGGTTTGGAGAAAACTACATAATGGGGAGCTTCATAACTTTGTACACTTCGCCAAGTATAATTAGAATGATCAAGTCAAGGAGAATGCGGTGGGCAGGGCATGTAGCACAAATGGGGAAGAAGAGGAATGCATATAGGCTATTGGTGGGAAAGCCAGAAGGAAAGAGACCACTGGGAAGACCAAGGCGTAGGTGGGTGGACAATATTAAAATGGATCTTAGAGGGATAGGATGGGATGGTGTGGACTGGATCGATCTGGCTCACGATAGGGACCAGTGAAGGGCTCTTGTGAACACGGTAATGAACCTTCGGGTTCCATAAAATGCTGGGAAGTTCTTGAGGAGCTGCACAACTGGCGGCTTCTGAAGAAGGGCTCAGCTCCATGAGTGAGGTTTAGCGGGTGCTGTAGTGAACAGTAAACTGTGGAGAACAGTGATAGCATTGTAATTACTTGTAGTTCCGAGTGGTGTCAGGAATCCAATATACAATCCATACCCCGTCTGATAGTCACGCAAACACGTCACTGTATTAAAATGGATTTTGGAGTAGTATGGGAGGGTGTAGACTGGATTCATCTGGCTCAGGATAGGGACCAATGGCGGATTAACCTGAACATAATATCACGTGTAGGGTGGTACGCGAGGTGTTTACCTGTCCGTTACCTAGCAACGCTCTAGCCATCCACGTTACAATATATTCGGGTTTTCTAAAATTCTGAGAATTTTGTAATTAGCTGAGCAACTAGTATCTTCTCAAAATGGAATGGCCTACTTCAAAATTTTCTTACAGGAACTGAGGAAAACTACGATAAGTGTACTATCAATAAGGATGCTGTGTCTCCTAGTTGAGATTTGAACCCGGTAGCCGCAGAATGCGAAACAGGGTCGCTGCGCACTCGACTGCCATGTTCGGGCATGTTTTTTGTTGTTTCTCTTTCAGCAATATGGCCGCGAAAATTATTTGCTCTGAGATCTCGTTCATTGTATCCTAAAGGCAGATGATTAAGGAAAACATTAATTAACTAATATTTACTGGACCACTAAAGCTCTTCTCTTTAATGAGAAGTACTGAACATAATTCTGTATGGTATATATCAAAGATACACGACTCTCAGAGACACACGGAAACTGCAACAAGTACGATTATACTTAAACTTATAAAAGTAATTAGCTTGAGAGTTAAGTTGCTTTAGAAAGAATATGGAGAGTAGGATGAGGCTGAAACTTGGTGTATCTGCAGTCCTTCTCAAGCTGCCCTCTGAAACTTGACTGTGGATGTAGAATGAACTGCGAGGAATGCAAATCCTACAAGAGCTGCTTGTACAAAACTGCATGAGGCTTTCGGAACTAAGTCCTAATTGGTGTTTCCATCTGCAGTCTGTTTTACATACTTACTTGTTTACTCTATTAATAATATTATCTCGAGTTCCAAGAGATGGCACTGGAAGGGGTGAAGGGGTTAAGTTCACTCGGTAGTGTATATTATATTGAACTAATGAAACTGGTATATTGTACTTTCAAGTGCTCAATAACAGACGGAGAGAAATGTAAATGGATTCAAACTTGTGCATAGGATTAGGACGGATTTAACAGTGTCTGGATAAATCAAGAGTAGATTGAAACAGTTTTCAGACATGTTGAATCCGTCTTGTTCAAATTTGTACAAAGGTCAGTTGACTTATTTCTCGCACCGTGTTGAATTTACGCAAAACGTAGAGTGCGGTGTTGAATAGGTTAGAATAACCCTTTTCTTTTCTGAGAATGAAAAGTATCACTTTATGCCTATGCCCCGTGTTGTCTCTAGTGTGAGTGACGTTATGAGTGAGAAGAAACATGTTCTGCCATCTCTCGACAGGTTAAGCTAACTATTTGCATGACTGCTTTCGAACTTGTAGATGAAGTTACCATGGAGATACACGATAAAAGAATGTCGCTGTAGTGAGTGCTCAGAGAACAAGTGTTTGTGCGGTGAGTAGAACCCCAATTATACGCCATATTGCCACGAATACTTAAGTCAGCATCGAAATTTAAGCCAAGCGAAAAGTTAGCCTTTTTATAAGCAAAAAGCATGAAAGGGGCGTGGAGATAAAATCTTCATATATTCCAACCCCCGTCACAACTTGGAGGCAGGCACTGAGGTTCGTGAGTTGTTTAACGATGCTCTCTCACCTGAAACGGCTAAGTAGATTGATGGGGGGGGGGAATAACGCAAGTTGGAAAGCAGGAAGATGAAAACGGTTTCTGCGCACATTCACCAGACTTCCTCAGAAAATCAAGGAGAAAAATACACAGAAGCGACTGCTTTGGAAGGGATTTGCAACACGGAATCTCTCGAATACTTTTTTATGAACTTTTTACTCTGACAGGAGCTGTGATGGCTCAGTCGATATAGCGATGGGCTACGGCCTGGGTTACTGGTGTTAGATTCCCAGTAAGGGCAAGAGATTTTTCTCTATTCCACAGCATCCAGACCGGCTTTGGGGCCCACTGAGCACCCTATCCAGTGGATGCCGGGGCTCAAGTGGTCGGGGCATGAATAGATGCAGTAACAGACGAACCATTGGAGGTAGTGTTCTCTCTTCGGTTCATCCCGAGTTATGAAAGTTAATTCATTCGGAGGCATTCGAGAGGGAGACAGTTCATTTGTTTAGTTGTAAGAGAAATCAAAAGTTGAGTGTTCAGCTGTGGAGTGTGAACCAGCGGACAGCGGAAGCTGAAGAAGTGACCGATTCATAAATCCGAACCAAACCACTAGCAATGGAACAAAAGACACTCGTGGTCCAGTAAGGAATGGAACGAGTCTTAGGCAGTCACTGATTGTGAGCTGTTGTAATTGATTATAAATATAAAGAGGTGTCAATAAATTCAATCATGTAATCCAGAACCCGTTATTATTAGTCACACAAACCCTTAATCCGTGACAACATATATTTATCACTTAATACTATGGCGTATAAACCCGTTGCTAAGCAGTGACTCTGTAAACAGCGGCCGTTGTTAAGTAACCCCGCAACTTACACGTACGTAACAATAGGAGAATGGTGTTTTCTGTGTCGTCTGCACTGCGACAGTTGCTATGCAACACGTCTACAACAATAGAGGGGCTGTGTTTTCTGCGTGGTCCGTGCCGAGGAGTTAATGTTGAAGATAATTGGCGCTATAGTTAAGTTGAGAGTTCAGGTGTGGGGTGTTAACCAGCGGGCAACGGCGTGACCACGGAAGTTTAAGAATCTCCATTGTTAAGATTCGTTACCAGAAACAGTCTAGTGAAAACATTGCCCAGGAATAGCCATTGTTGATAGCTGTTGCTAAGCAACGACTGGTGAACGCAGACCGAGAAGGCTTAGCGTGGAGTGATTTATGTTGTGGAAATCAGCAGTAGTGTTATAGTTATTGTAGTTCGGAGTGATGTATACTAGTGGTCAATTAATCCAATTCACCAGTCCAAACCCCGTCTATAGTTTCACGCCCCAAAATCATGATAGTATTTTCCGCCTATAGAGTACAGACACAACTTCTTTTTTAACATCCAGCCATGCAATGAGATATCGATTAGTCGACCATAGCAATGTGCTTGTAAAAACTTCTCAGTGTCAGTTCCTGTACTTAGGGTATTAGAGAAATTAGTGGCAAAGTAATGGATGCGTTCCGACTACAGGAGCATGCACTGCGCATGACGCTCACGGAACCATAGTACCACCTCATGAATATGCAGATGGCCTCGAAAATGCAGTTACAAGAAAACCAGCTCCCGCAGTGCCTTATATTCGTCATTCAATATGAAATTACAAGACTTGACATCTGTACTCAATGGAGTACACGTTTTTCTTCGGAAACGTTGTTTATTTGTGACTTGCATACTTAATTAGGCTTGTTCGGTTCTGACACGCGCCAGTTCTTGCAGTTTTAATCACATGACACACCACACTGTACTGACATAAAAATTATAGTTCTGCTTATGTTTATATTTAAATACGTACGTCGAGGTTTCGGTAAGAAATTGTAGACCTCGTTGAGGTCAATATTGTGCATCGTACGTGGACCGGTTTTGAGGTAATTGATAAGATTTTGATTTGTGTTTCGTGTAATTTTCGGGTTATGTATGGCATATAAAAGAAATAAGGTAAATTCACCTCATGTTATAGTGTGGCACCACGACACCAAATTTCATTTAAATCTGTTCAGCTGTTTCCGACGTGAGGTTCAGAGATGCATGAAGACGTATGGGGGAGTGGATATGTAGATCCACACATTCCTGCTCTCGGCACTAGTGGGAGATGAGTAGTCGGCCTCACGCCCAGGACGCTTCCCCGGTGTCAATTGGATATGAAGCTGGGTGAGCCCCAGAACCGGTTTGGACGATGTGGAGAGGAGAAAAGTCTTGCTCATACTGGGACTCGAACTCCGACCCCTTTATTGTCCAATCCGTAGCCAGTCCAGTATAACGACTGCGCTATTCCGGTTCCGTTACATTTCACAAAAATATGTTTATAAACAAAATATGATTTCAGTTTCTTTTTAAGGTAACTAACGATCCTGATCTCCTTCCGTAGCGACCACTTCTC